TATACTCGAGTATATATGGTAATAGAGGCTGGATCTCCTTTTCTCTATTTTGGTGGAACCTTTGAAAGAATATTGAGATCAGGAACATGAGACAAAGAGAGGTAGGAAACAATAAAGGAACTCAAGAAACAAAGCTCTAATGGAGAGAGCAAATGCAGGGAGAGAAATGGTTGCAAGATCCAGTTTGGGTCGGACACCAGAACCTAGGGTTTAGTCTTTTGAGCTGTCAGACTCATGCCGGAGCCCATCCTCAGGGAACTTCTCTCTACTGGAATGTGTGCTTTGAGCTATTCTATGCATCGTATTGATGTGGTGCCTTCCTATTGATTGATTGGTGTGTTGAACTGGCAATTGGCTATTGTTTCCTTGTGCTGCCAAGTCCCTGACTCCTAAGAATTTGATTTAAAGGTAAAGGTTCCCCTCATACATATGTGCTAGTCGTTCCTGACTCTAGGGGGCAGTGCTCATCTCCGTTTCAAAGCCAAAGAGCCAGCACTGTCCGAAGATGTCTCCGTGGTCATGTGGCCAGCATGACTAAACACTGAAGGTGCACGGAACACTGCTGCCTTCCCACCAAAGGTGGTTCCTATTTTTCTACTTGCATTTTTTTATGTGCTTTCAAACTGTTAGGTTGGCAGAAGCTGGGACAAGTAACGGGAGCTCATTCTGTTATGCGGCGCTAGGGATTCGAACCATCAAACTGCCGACCTTTCTGACCGACAAACTCAGCGTCTTAGCCCCTAAGTCACTGCGTCCCTGCTGTGTTTACATTAAAGTAGCCCAAAAGGGAAGCCTTTTAAGAAAGGCTGCCTGGTCTCCTTGGCTAAGGGCTACTTTAATCTAGTAATGAAGAAATGAAATAAAAAGCTGCCCAAGTCGCTTGGTTTGGAGCCCCAGGATGCTCCTTTTCTGTTTGAAGGTTAATTTTGGGGCATCGTAGAGGAGATGGGAGAAAAAAAACCACTCCTTCCTGCCTGGCTGCATAGCACTCTGCTAGGTCATCTCTCAGGCAGCAACGCCAAAGCACATCATACTTACAGGTTGCCAGCTGGCTTGGAACAATTTTGTTTTGCTCTTCTGCTTCCCTTTAGGGTGAGAAGAGGCTGTTAACACCACAAGCTCTTCCTCCTTCCTCTTTCCACACAGAACAGGGCAATGGGAATGGGAGTGGTATAAAATCAAAGTCACGGCTTTCTGCTTTCAAAAAGAATAAATAAATGCTTGCCTGCCTCTTCTTTGTTTTCTCCCAGCCTTGGTTCTTTCCCCTGCTTTCAAATGTTTGCATTTCTGTATTTTTTTATTAAAGAGTTTTGAAAAGAAGGTTAAAAGAAGAACTAATATAAGGTAAAGAAAGGAAAAAAATGCCGGGACGCGGTGGCTCAGTAGCTAAGACGCCGAGCTTGTTGATCAGAAAGGTCGGCAGTTTGGTGGTTTGAATCCCTAGTGCCGCATAATGGAGTGAGCACCCATTACTTGTCCCAACTTCTGCCAACCTAGCAGTTCNCTCCAGCTGCACATTCCATCACAGTTTTGAGCACTTGAATTATGTGCTCTTGGTAAGGATTTGGGATAGTCATTTTGCTGCTCAATTTATATGTTAGAGCAACATGAGGAAGAGATATCAAAAGGTACTTTGTTTGCATTATTTTTGCAAAACTCAGTCCCTTCATGTGAGCCTTGAAGCGTGTCTTAGAAGAGAGCTACATTCACAGCATTCAAATCCACTTGAATTTTCAAAAATGTTTTTGTCTATGGAAAACTTTGCTCCTGATCCAGTGCCTGCACTCTGATGCAGAATGTTTTTCTCAACCTTCAAAGTGCTTCTCGCTCCCCCTCTTTCATGTGTGTTCCTTCTCTGGGCAAATAATCCTATATTCTCTTCTGAGCAAATATCACTAAAGGTCCAAGTTCTGTTTAAGTGGAATCTTGGAACTAGGGTTCACTCAAGGGAGCAGCGAGACAAATTGGTTGCAGGACTCTGGTTTCTCTCCGCTGAAAGCATGATGCAGTTGTTATCTGCTTCCTCCCCAATCCAAATTGGCCCAATTCCCAGAAGAAACGCCTTGCCTCAGCAAAAGACAACGTGGAGCACTAACTCTGGACTTTCCGTGTCTGGTTCTTTGCTGCTGCTTGCGTAACATTTGTACCTGCCATGATAACCTCTGGTCGTTTTTGTAAGGAGAACTGGAAACCGGAGAGCAGGGTTGCTAGGCACGCCTGGCACAAGGATGAGGCTCCTGCGGCTGCAGGATTCTAGTGGAGTCAGTTTGGGAAGAGGCTGGCATTGCCATCTTCTCCTGGGCCCTCAGTTATCATAGGCTACAGGTAATGCCCCCTCCTTTGAAAGAACTGGACAGTTGGTTTAGCAGCCTGAAGTATAGAGTAGGGTGTGAGCCCTGTCTCTGTTCACACATCACATAGGTTGTCCTTGATTAACCATCTATTCCAAATACGTTCAGTTTATGTATTTCTATATACTCACATGTAAGCCTATTTGCACATAGGCCAACCCTCAAATGCTCACAAAAATGCCACAAAAATGCACCACCTGTAGGTAAATCAACATGCATTAAAATGTCTCCTTATTCATGAATGAGCTTATATATGGAGATATGGATGCTCTGGCAAAGAATTCCCATACATTCCTATGGATTAGCCCATCCTCACATAAACCAAACCTGTTTTTTTGGGAGCATTTTGGCACCTAAAATTCTTGGCTTATCCATGAGTATATACGCCATATTATGTAAATGCAAGCAGTATGCAAAGCCGCAAATCATAGCTTACAAATTACCATATTTTTGGAGTATAAGATGCACTGGAGTAGAAGACGCACCAAAGTTTTGAAGAGGCAAAATGTAGGTAGGTAGGTAGGTA